GATTTTAGAATAAATTTTTCTGGAAATGTAAGTACTACAGCATAACTTCGTTTGCCATCTTCTTGTGTAAATACAATATAATGTATTCTACTGTCTTCTGATTGATGTGATATTTTAACATCCTCAGGTAAACAGAAAAGTGGTAAATTATTATATGCAATAGGTATAATATGTTTTTTTGGTACTTTTGTATTTAAAGGTAATACAGATGAAGATTTGGAATAGAATATCGATGGATAATATTGATCAATAACTTCATTGTCTTTTGATTGTGGATATAGTGCTTGATCAGCTGTAAGCATAGATAATACATATGGTTTAATTGATGATTGAAAAGGAGAATCATTATTATCATCAAATTGTTTTTTAATAGTAAAACCACGTTCTGAATTAAAACCCACACAAACAATTGAGTCAATAAATGCATTTAATAATGACATCTATCTAACAAAAATCTTATGATGAAATGCAATGAGTTCTTACTGTTATCAATTTTATCGTTGTTAAAAGATAAACATTTATTTACTATTATAGAAAACTTACATAACAGAAAGATTTCATATTTATGTAAATGTCAAGAAGAAGAAGAAAAAAAAGCCGAGAGAATTTTTTTTTCTATTTCACTTATTTACTAATATGATTCATTTGAATTGACCAAATATATTTACACATATCATTATTCGATTATGATCAAATATAATGTACTCTTTCACGTAACATTAACACATAAATTCGTTTTGTATAACAATGTTGATAGGCAACGATTAACGATAAAATAACTGTTTAATATGCTGAATAAAGAAATAAACCTTGAATTCAATTCTCATAAGAATACGCGAAATGAAAAATAGAATTCAAAACTCTCTGATGTACAAAAGCATATCGTATTCTTTAAATATACAATAACACATAATACTAAACTATAAATGAATACAAAAAAATATATCATTCGATTTTTTTACATTTGATATAGTAGCATAATTTGCTTTGTAATTTTATCGTAGAAATGAATATTTATATAAATTACGAAAATAAAATGTTTTCGTTTGAAGTTCTTTTATTTTCCATCGGATTCACTTGTAGTGGTTTCACTAATTACACCTTTTGAACGCCTTTCCGGATTGCTCAATTTAGCAGATACTGATCTGAGACCACATATTAGACGTTCTGTCATTACTGTGACATCTTTTTTTGGTGAATTAGTATCTGTGACACGATGTAATTCAGATCCATCAGAATCGCTTGAAGGATCATGCGGTAAAATTTTTTGTTGAAGATTTGATTTTTTTGGATGAATATGTAAAGTTTTAGTACCGCGTGGTTCATCGACAACTGATCCTTCTGAATCAGCTGATATAGTACTAATAATACTATCATGAGGAGAATAAGATTCATCGTGTTCACTCCAATTACCATGATGTGTTGATTCTTGATTAGTAATTCTATTTGGTCTAGCAGATATAAATCTTAAGATGGCATCTTGACCATGTGCTCGAATTTCTGAATTAGCCGACGATGAAAAAGAAGAACGATAAATTGAAGGTGATTTAGCTGGTTCATTTGATGCTATAGTCACACCATCGTCAGGAATATTCGATTTATATGAATTCATAGTCGAAGATCTAGAAATATTTTCTCGAGATTTCAATACTTCGTTTGAATGAATAGGTATTAAACTTGTCTCACCAAATTTGCTTGGAGTAGCTCTATTCGTAGTATCATGACAATTATCCAAATTAAGCGTTTTTGGTGTAGCCGATTTGGGATATTCTATTGAGTCATCGGATTTATTTGAAACGACAGATACGATAGTCAATCGTTTTAATTCATTTAATGGATTTCGATAAACGACTATTGGATTTGTTTCTGATGTTGTTGATATAGGTTGAACGATAGTTACTTGTGCTTCAGTGGGTTCGATTTGTGTCTGTTCATTTTTCGTCTCTCGACGAGTTGGTAGAATTTTGACTTGTTTACAACCCATAAATTCACCTTGTTTTTTTTCTTATTGACCAATTCTCGAAAAAATGTTGGTTAGAATATTTAACATATTTTTATTTCTATTTTCTTTTTTTACTATTCTTATTAGTATATATGGTGAATTATTATTCATCTATGGACATATGATATCTTATCAAAAAAAAAGAAACAAATGAAAATAAAATAAAATGTAAAGGATTTCGCATATGCCCGATTGTAATGCTGTTCTCGAAGGTTATACTAACAAATGCATCCATTAGAGATAGCATTATACTTATTCTAGTTACAAACAAAGTAATTTAAACTGGATTAAAGCATCTGAATATGAGCTAGTTTAAATAAAAACGCTATAGATTTTCATCTGTTGTATTATGATTTTATATTTGTCTTTAAATTCTTTTATCAGACAGCTTAACTTGAAGTATGTCATTTATAATTTAACTGATTTCGTTATATATCATTATTTATTTGCTATTTTACTTGATAATACAGAATATATCGTAACTTATTTTCTATTTATTCTATGTAAATCGAAAAGTATATTTACATTGATAGTAGTGAACTCTTTTATTCGAAATTTATTAAAATAATTTATTATTTCTTTCATAATTTCGATATCACAATATTACAATTATTTTTTTTCATATTAAGAATATATCTATAACTATAATAAACGGCTGAAAATAGAACAAGAGATTAACAAAGATCATATACATTAACAATGTACTTTATAGTCTGGATATATTTCATTTCTTATTCTTAAATCATTAGTTATTCTATTTCAACTACAAAAATGTTAGAACTCCTACCAATATCATTTACATTAGGATCATTAGTTAAAGTTTTTTTAATTATGAGTATTAATATGTTTGTTAGTTATACATGGTATTCGCCGATAGGTTTCCAAAAACAATGGATGCAAGCAGTACAATGGAAAGAAGATGATCAATGTAATAGTACAGCTGTGCTTATGTCAAATATAGGAGCGTTATTAAATTCATTTTTATTGAATATACTATTAATTGCTTTCGATATTCGAAAACAACAATATCTTAGTGCCATGTTGGCTTCAGCAATATTATGTGGATTCTATACTGTAAGTTTTCAAAGATTATTCTTTATATTTTGTTTATGTAAGTTTTTAGTTTAATGGTTGGAATTCGGTATTTTTTGGAAAAAAAGTCGAATATACACAACGTCGTACATTGTATGTACTTGATATTGGTTTTACATTTGTTCTCTATACGCTCATATCATTTGTGTTAATTAGTTTTTAATTATTGTTTTATATTATAATAATTCAGATGTTAATTTAGATTTTCGTTATTTATGATGTCTAAATGTATTTCTTTTTCTTTGTTACCTTTTTATTATTGAAAGAAAAATATAATTATATGTGAAAGATGATTTGAAATATTCTTTGGGTGTCATTTAAGTGGTCAGTAGAATAAATGAAACGATCAGTAAAACGAAAAATTAAAAAATTAGTGAATTATTGAAATGGCCAGTAATTAATTTGATAGGTCCATAATAAAATTTAAACAATCAGTAAATAAAATGGGATGGAAAGTAAAAAACTATAAATTTGCGCAAGGATAGTCTACTTTTCTTTTTTTACTGACAAAAATCATATTTTTTCACTGCTACTTCCACAAAATCTACTGACCACTTTTGAATTGTTTACTGATTTTTTTGAAAACTGACCAGTTAATATATTTACTGACCGCAAAACATATTTCCATATTCTTTTTTTATGATTTCTAACATAAAGTCCATATTCACATATGCTGGCATTCAAATTTAGACTTGTGAGAGAAATAAAATTTAGCTTTGATCGCCATGTTCAAAAGTCTCGCGGATTGTCTCTTAAATATAATCATTGATTCATCACTCGCTTATCTCGAATCATTTTTTATTGAATTAAAGCAATTAGATGTACTCATCTTACTTCTTATTAATTTAACTTGTCTACATCATCTGTTCTTCTTAATTATTCACATATAGAATATTCCTGAAAATATGAATTATATTTACAGATAAATATGTTCATCTTAGACACAAAGAGCAACCTAATGTCATTGCCAATCAACAGTTGAGTACTATTCAGAATATCTGGCTATTTATTATGCTTGTATTGTAGTTGAACTTTGTCGTTCGAATCTTCTTAATAATAATGACATTGATACAGTAATTGCAAAAGATAATCATGTATATAAATGAGCAGCTATTACAAAACGAATTATAGATCATGAAACAAGTCCATTAACTCGATAATCATTAAGAGTGAAGGGCTTAGCCCCTGTCATTCATTTCGGGTAACTTGCTACTCAATGACAGAAAGCGATTAGGCAAACTTTTGACCATAGATAAACTACGTAGTGTACCTGTGAGAAAAACGTCTTATTCACATATTTCATAACAGTATATTCAAGAACTTCATCTTCATGAACTACCACTTTTCCGCCAGATATTATTTTCTATGAAATAGTCATAAAATCTAATAAATTTAGTTTTCGGTATATATTTTGAGAAAAAAAATAGTTGACAAGAAAACATTGTTTGTTTCTGTCATATCTTAGATCTTAAAACAAAACAAATCGGTCAATAAACAGTTCAAATTTAAGGAACAAAAACTATATTATTGCTATTGTTTCTATCAATAGCAATATAATATAGTAAAACGAAGAAAACAAAATGAAATGAAAAACAAAAACAGCAAACAAAAACAGAAATAGACGGACAACTGTAATCGAAGTATAAAAATTTCGATCAACAGTTAATAGAACAAAATAACACATTGACCTAGTCGAACTCAATAGAATCACACTGTCAACAAGATAATGTGCTAAACTAAAGAGAAACAAAAAAGTTCTATAGAAAAGACTAAACAACAAAACTTGTGTTTTTTTTTCAACAAATAGGCACATACACTTAGAAAGAGAAATTTTCCTAGATGCTACAAGAAAAGAACAGGAAAAGGTATCAGACTAAAGGCGAAGAAATTTCAACGCCTATATGTCTTAATCGACTTCATTATTCATTAATGCTGCTGCTTGTTCAGCTGCATCGGATATAGTTGTAACAGAAGGCGTTGATGGTTGTTGTAGTTGCTGTTGTCGGTCATCAGTTGATTGTTTAGCCATTTCTTCTCGTAGAAGATCAAGGTCTTTTTCACGTATTTGAATAAATAAAATACCATTAACAACATTAAGCATTTCTAAGACATTTTGAAAACTTGGTTGTTGAATCTAAATGTAATTTATTGAAGAAAATCAAGAATTCAAATAATCTTAGTTATTTACAGTTAAACTTGGTATAACAAGTAATTGACCTTTAACAACATCATTTATTCGTTTTTGTAATACAACAGCTTGTTCAGTTAAATGTTTAAGTACTTGAGCACTTTCACGTGTTCGTTCATGTTCATCACCAAGCTAAAAAAACAAAATATCAGAAATTCTCTGACCTAATCAAAACAAATTCTATTTACCTGTGCTCTATATATTTGATAAGCTTCACGTTCACTGTTCAATGCTGATCGAAAATCTCCACGACATGATTGAATACGTGCACAAAGATGATGTGATAAAGCTACTTTAAGACTTTTTGTTCCATAAAAACTAAAAGAACATACTTATGTTATTTCTTAAAACAAAATTCATTTAATAACGTACGTTTTATTTAATTCAAGTGATTTTTCCATAAATTTAAGTGCATTTTCATAATCACCATATGATTGTAAAATCAATCCAAGATTACTCTAAAAAAAAATCTTTCTCGAATCATATTATAAAAAAGTTTTCTTTACATCAATAAGACTAATTTGTGGATGATTTTCACCACAACATGTTAAAATAATATATCGAGCACGACAAAGTAATTTCGAAGCATTTATTGAAAGACCATTTGCAAATGAATATAAAGCCATATGAATCTAATTTCAAAAATTTTCTTATATTTCCAAGTTTTATTTGAATATTATACATACATATTCTGTTGCTGTTTGTGGATGATCAACACCTAATACACGTTCAGACATCATAACAGCTTTATGTTGTGTAAATAATGCTTCTTGATAATCTCCCATAATATAATTTAATCGTGCTAATAATCTTAAACACATACTAATTTCAGGATGTAGTGGACCATAAACATTATTTAATAAATTATGTGCTTCAGATATTAATTCAAAACCTTCACGAAGTAAGCCTTGTTGAATTTTTTGTTGGCCACTTGTAAAAAATTGATAAGCATCACTTGGCTAAAGATAAAATCAATATATATTTTATTCATTAGTTGTTTTTTTCCTTACTTTTGGTGGAACTTGTTTAATAACAGGATACATATTAACAACATCATCTTCAGTAAAACAGTCCGTATTTGTACGAGATGATTTATTGGTTGATTCAAATTGATATTCACGCATAGCTAATTGTAAACCAGTTTTCAAACAAAATGAACGTAAAATACATGTACGACGAACAGAATATTTATCAACAAATGATTCAATATCATCACTAAGAAAAAAGATAACCGATGTGATATATTTTTTTTGTATACAAATAAAAGTTATTTTATACTATCAAGTGGGAAATGGGGAAAGAGACATAACGCACCAACTTTTTTTTACGATTTCCCGACATATAAAATCTTCGGAATGACAAAGATTTAAAACAAGCAGAGTGTTAGAGTAAGTGTGGGTGTATAAGTCATTCTTCGCTCATACTACACATCCACACCCACACCATCACTCGACTTCGTGACAATACTTTATATATTATCGAGCATTTCGTTCTGACTTCCGTATTTTTTAAAATTATAATTTCCAGACCAACATGTTTTACGGACTCCTGGTAAAAAAAACAGTCAATTCCGAACACCTGGACAAATTACCAGGTGTTCGAGACACCTAGTACGTTATGTCTATGTCCCGGGAAATGTATGAATTTCTCTGTATTTAATAAAATTCTCTTACCAAGTTAAATCAAAACTAAATCTTGATTTAGCTTCATTTGTTAATTGTGTCCAAAGTAATTTCGATGTTAATGATGAAAATTCTAAAGATTCTATAACAAAAAAACAACGAAATTAGTCAGTATTTTCAAATAATTATTTTTTGTACCATTTCTCATAATTGGACTATGTTTACGCTGTTGTTGTTTTTTATTTTTCTTCTTATTATTTGTTTTTTGTGACGTTGTATTAGTTGAATTAGATAAAGATGTATTTGATGTATTTGTCGTTGATGTCGAAGTTGATGATGATAATTCATCAAATGTATAGTCTGTTACAGGTGATGATATAAGTGTTAGAAAACAATTCAAAAAATGGCTTATTGAAAATGACAAAAGATGAATTGGTACTGATTGTGAATATGTACGAAATACATGTTTTGCACTTCGACAAAGAATTTCTGTAACAACAATTTCCTAAGTTTGAAAAAAAGATTTATTAGAAGATATATGATTAATAAGAGTACGTACATATAAATAAATAAGGGATGGTTGCTGTGTAAGAAGATGAGCAACTCGGCCAAGATAACGAATATTAATTCCTCTAAATAAAAGAAAAATATTTCTCTAATTTTTATTCTAGCCAATGATTTTACCTTGAATGCATAGCTTCAGAAAGACCTTCACCGTCAACAGGTACGGATGAATGATCTTGAAAATCTTGTATCATTAATGGAATTTGTTTTAATACTAAATATTCAGATGCTTCTTTAAGTAGTTTTATATCAGCAGCTGTTTCTGCAGGCTAAAAAATAAATAAAAAGTTCATGTCATACAATTGAAGAATTTTGTTTTTGAGAAAACTACCGTTTGATTGAGTGTTACATGTGGTTGAAATACATCAGGATTAAAACGAACATCAAATTCATTATCTTTTACTGATCCAATCGAACGACATGCTGATTGAATTATTTCTCGACTATTATCTTCAACTAAAATAATATACAAAAAGATAATTAATTACGTTTATTAAATCTTAAATTTCTTTATACCACTAATTTCATTGACTATACGTTTAGCTTCTTCAACATTTGTTCTTTCAGCAGTATCATTTGGTGTAGACTAAATTAAGAATAGTATGAATTTTTTTTAATGAGCAATGAATATAAAACTAAATACTTCATTTGATCGTAATTTTGATAAATTAAGTGCAATTGAACGATAAAAATCCACATATTTTTGTCTAAGTATATACAAAAAATATCCATAAAATTTGATAGATAAAGAAAAAAAAACCAAACTTACTCAATAAAAGCATCGATTAATTCTTGTCTTAAACAACACAAACGATGTTTGTAAGTTTTTGGATAATCAAGCTGTTTCATCGATGGTGATAGATGTTCAACATCAACTAAATATTTCAAACATTTCATGATTAAGTACAGATAATTAAGAAGCAAAATATCTCATATTTTCGAAATCATTATTCGAGTGTCCACCCGAACCATCTCAAAATATACAGCTTCTGTATTTTTTCGAGTGGGCAGCGCCCAAACAGCCCACCCGCTGGATAAAACACTGCATTATTCGGATCTCTATTGAAAATGCTTTGATTTCAATCCTATTTCAAACTACTAGTCATATCGAAATAAAAGGTAAGTAGATATTTTTTTGAATAACTTTCGATAAGAACACAATGGAGAGCGGTGGTTTTTACTGTTGAAAAGAAGCGATAAATATATATCAGAGCTTATATGAAAAGATTTCTCTAACTACTTTCCCAAGAGTTGTAGTCAGAAATTAAATCTTTATCTGGTGGTTTTAGAACGCTTCCAACAATCAATAAATTCATATTCTGTCGATGAGACACATACTAGTTTTTTTCCTATCGGAAGTTATTCAGAAAATATCCACCCGTCTTTTATTTTCGAAATGGACAGTAATTTTCATATAAAAATCATATGTTTATCTGACTATCTCATTAGAAGAAAGATTAACACATTTAGCTAAGATAAAATTTACCTGGTAAATAATTAAGATCAGGTGGTGTCATACGTAATAAATCTAATAAATAATGTCTTCCATCATTACCAATAATACCCTTACATTCTACAGCAGTTAATAATTCTACAGTATCACCTTTTTCAGTTTTAATTGAATGTGGTTTAATTTTAAGCATAGTAGAAACTTTATCCAATAATTCTTTATATTTATCATTGGTTGTACAAGTTTTTCCAAAATCAGTTGATCCATAGACGACACTTTGTTCCTGTTCTTTTTCAAGTATACCTTAAAGAGAAACAAAAGTATTTTATTTTTTATACATCTATATATAATTATTTCTATGAAAAACAAGATGATATATTTAATAAATGAT